CCTGTTCAACATTTTTAAAATCAATGACTTGCATAAATACGTAGTACAAGTCATGATTCTCTAGTTTGCAGATGACAGGAAGCTGGACAGGATTGTTGATATATTGGATAACAGAATCAGGTTTCAAAAAAAGATCTCAACAGACTGGAATGATAGTCTGAAATTAACCAGATGAAATTGAATAGGGATAAATAAAGTCTTTCACTTAGATTCAGAAATTTAATTATACAGGTACCTTCAGGAGAGGTAAAGTAGTTCATTTCAAAATGTCTTGGGGGTTTTACTTTACTCCAACCCCCAAATGAGTCAATGGTATGATGTAGCCGACCAAAAAGTTAATCCAATTTTAGGCCACATTATTTATTTTTAAATAGAGTATCCAAAGCAAGGCACTAGTCCCACTGAGTGCACTGAACGCTGAGTGTTCAGTTCTGGGAACCGCATCTAAGAGAGACATTGACAAATTGGAATGTGTCCAGAGGAGGGCAGCAAAGATGGTAAGGGAATTTGAAACTATGGCATGTGATGAATGGTTGAAAAAGCCAGAGATGTTTAGCCTAGGAAAACAGTAGAGAAGACTTCAGGAAGACATAATAGTTTCTTCAAGTATTTGAGGAGATGTCACATGGGAGAGGCGCTAGACTTATTTTGTGTAGCCCCAGAAAGCAATCAGATAATAAACATTTATTAGAGACCTACTGTATATATACCAGGCAGTGTGCCAAGTGCTGGGGATATGGAGAAAGGCAAAAGATAGCCCCTTCTCTCAAAGAGCTTACAGTCTAATGGAAGAGACAACATGCAGGCAATTATATAGAGATGAGCTATAAACAGAATCAATTGGAAATAATCAAGAGACAAGGCACTAGAATTTTAAGTGGGATTTGGGAAAGGCTTTTTATAAGAAGGTAGGATGTTAGCTGGGATTTCAAGGAAGCCAGGAGGTGGAGATGAGGAGGGAGGGAGTTCCAGGCATAAGGGACAGGCAGTTAAAATGATTGAAGTTGAAACATGAAGTGTTTTAGTTCAAGGAATAGCAAGGACAGTGGTGTCACTATATCAGAGTGTGGTGAGGTGTGAGGTGAAAGAATGGGGGGCAGCTAGGTGGAGCAGTGGATGGAGCACTGGCCCTGAGGTCAGGAGGACCTGGGTTCAAATCCAGTCTCAGACCAAACACTTGACACTTACTAGCTGTGTGACCCTGGGCAAGTCACTTAACCCCAATTGCCTAAAAAACAAAACAAAAACAACAACAACAAAAATAAGAATACTATATGGATAGAAGCAACAGAAAGACTCATCTCAGCTCAATTTATGGAGGAACTTTCTAACTATGGAAGCTGCCCAGAAATAGGATAGGCTTCTTTATAATGTAGTGATCTCCATGTTATAGGAAGTATTTGAGTAAAGACTGGACAGTCACCTGTCAGAGATGTTGCCATGGAGATTCTTACATGAAGTAGGAAGTTGAACTAGGTGACCTTGACCTTCTACCACTATGAAACTATGACTCTTTCACGAAAAGGGAAACCTTCCAGACACTTAAATCATGCCACAAATTAACAAGACAAAAAGTGACTCTAGACTTGACTTAGATCTCAGTGTTCTACATTGTCATGAATTATTGGATTACTGGGATAGATACCATTATGAGCTATTTATCCTTATACTTGAATACTTCAAGGATTTGTGATTTCATTGATACAGATACTTTTTTTCACTGACATAGCCCCAAACCTTTTATGTCTTAATAAATAATATTTGTGAATCACTGTGGCTGAAAAAGTCCTTAACCTATGACCAACCTCCCAACTAAGTGAGGAAGGTTGGCCTCAGTTTCCTCATTTGTAAAAAGAGGAAATTAGAGAAGGTGACCTTTAAGCTCACTTCCTACTCCTGAGCCAAGTCATAGCAGCACAGAATTACAGAATTTCAGAGTGGGAAAGTATCTGATTCAAACTGCACTTGAAAAAGAATTCACGCTATTCCACACTTTACCAGTGGGTCTTCTAGCCTTTGTTTGAAGACCTCCAGTGAAGGAGAGCCCACTACCTTCCATGGGATGTCATTCTGCTTTTGGATTGCTTTGAACATTAGTTAGGAAGCTTCACCTTAGAGGTCCTTGTGTGACAGACACTCAGTCCATCACCAGTTTAGGACCCCCGATCCTTTCCAAGATCTGCCCAAACTTGAATTTCCCATGAATAACCTAAGGATGGAAGTATGGTGCAATGGAAAGAGCGGGGGTGATAAAGCCAGAGGATCTAGGTTTGAATCCTACTCCTGCTACATTTATTATGATATTGGGAAAGTCTTTTAATGTCTCCAGGTCTCGGTTGAAATTCAGTGGGCAATGGATGGTGAAAGGGGGGAGGGGCAACCAAGAAACCAGTGTAAGGAAGTGGGAAAGTTCAGGACATGGATAGGGGACAGTCAAAAGCCCAATGTGGTTTAAAGATAAAGTAAATTGAAGGGAGAAGAATAAGAGAAAGCTGGAAAAGGAGGCCATGGCCTTAAATGCCAGACCAAGGATTTTGAACTTTATTTATTTGGAAATGGGGAACCACTGAAAGGCTTTGAGTGGAAAGATGACACAAATATGTAACAGTTTGTCAGTGGTATAAAGTGTCAGTTATGGGGGGCTAGGGGAGACTGGGGCAGGGAAAAGAGGCGGGGGGGAAACTGCACAGCTGAGCAGAAGATCTTCAGGGGACTTTTATCATCCAGCTTTTAGGAATATCGCAGATGCCAGTGAAATTTTGAGAATGGCATGTGTTCGAGTTAGTGCCAACATGGGACCAGGGCCAGGCATAGAAATCTGTTTCCCTTGTTCCACTCACATTTTTGGCTATGCCTGGCCCTGTTTGTTTTCCTTCTACGATGTTCATTTTGGTGGGGGTGGGGGTGGGGGTGGGGGTGGGGGTGGGGTGGGGTGGGGTTGGAATTCCCAGCAGTGTTTGCTCAAGGACGAATGAGCAAGGCAGCAGAGAATTGAGGTCCCAGGAGATGACAAAAGCCAGACTTTTCTCATTCTGTACCCAGCACTGGGATTCTTTCATAAATGTTAAGGAGTCATTGTAAATTAGAGGGCCTTCTGATGGTGAGAGCTAGAGATGGGAAGGCGATACTTGGTTTCTGTTCTAACTCAAAGGATCGTGAATTCAGAGCTGAAAGGGACCTTAAAGAGCATATAACAATGATGATGATGATGATGATGATGATGATGATGATGATGATGGTGATGATGATGATAGCTAACATTTATATAGCACTTACTATATGCCAGCCACTTTACAAATATTATCTCACTGTATTCTCAAAACAACCCCAAGAGGTAGGTGCTATTACTATCCCCATTTTAAGGATGAGGAAACTGAGGCAAACAGAAATTAAGTGACTTGCCCAAAGTCACACAACTAATAAGTGTCTGAGGCCAGATCTGAACTCAGGTCTTCCTGATTCCAGGTCTGGTGCTCCAGTTCAACCCAATCATTTTACAGACGAGGAAACTGAGGTGTAAAGTGCTTGAGTGACTTGCTGGAGGTCAATGCAGACAGTAAGCAGCAGTGATGGTATTTGAACCTGGATGCTCTAACTGTAAAGTTCTTTTTCACAGTGACTGAGTTGTCTCCAATCTTGTTAATTCCCAACTTTGTCATCAGAGAAATGGTCATCAGAAGCTACTGAATGCCCATCTTTTAAGGCCCCCTCAGTTCAAAGGAAGTCCTATGTAGTTATGTAGTATAGTCTTTCGGAGGGAGAGGAGAGTGACCCCTAATTGTTTTATTAATGGCCCTAAGGTCTCACTGAGATTCATGACAAGATCTAAAGATAGAGCAGAACTCAGGAGGATTTATTCCAAGCCCCTCATTTTACAGATGAGGAAAGCGAGGCCCATAGAGGCTAAGCCCCTGCTCTAAAGTCACAAGTAGTTGGCAGAAGTGGGGTTGGAAGCCTGGTCCTCTTATTCCAAATTTGTTGCTCTTTCCACTGTACTCCACTGCTACCCAGTATGTAGGGAGTACAGAGGGACTGCCTGAAGCAATGCAGATCAGCACCTACTCTCCAGCTTGTGGAGTCTTTGGGAGATTCCTGGGAGAGGTGACTTGCTCAGGGTCATGGAGCCAGGATGTGTCAGAGGTAACACTTCAACCCAGGTCTTCCTGGATTTGTGACCAGTTTATTCTTAGATACTACCCATGTGACATATTCAAAACATACAGTCCATTCCTATATGAAGTAGCTTTTGCATGGAGAAGATCACTAAAACCCAAAAAGGAGACAACAAACTTTGAAAATTAATTTTTAAAAATTCAGAAATCTCTTGTTACAATTTAACCTGTGGAGAAAGGGTCACAGGATTGAGAGCAGTCAGGAACTTTGTATTATCCAAATCAGTCTGCTCCATTCATTCACACAATCATAGTACTTGAGAGGTGGAAGGGACCTCAGCAGGCAAATCACTATAGCACACTGGACAAGTGGTGTGTGTTCAGACGTTTTCAGCTGTGTCTGACTCTTTGTGACTCCATTTTGGGATTTTCTTGGCAAAGATACTGGAGTGGTTTGTCATTTCTTTCTCCAGTTCATTTTGCAGATGAGGAAACTGAGGCAAACAAGGTTAAGTGACTTTCCCAGGGTCACTTAGGTCACTCAGGATGATGAGTCTTCCTGACTCCAGGCTCTATGCACTATGGTATCACCTAGTTGCCCCAACAAGTGGTATCCAGCCCCAACTTGAAGACCTCCAAGGAAGGAGAACCCACCATCTCTCTGGATATGCTATCCCATTTGTTAAGAAGTTTTTCCTAACATCAAACCTAAATTGTTTCTTTGTAATTTCTACCCTCTGCTCCTGGTTCTGCTTTCTAGGGCCAAATAGAATAATCTAATTCCTCCTCCAAATAATAACCTTTAAAATATCTAAAATACCTAACATACTCCCTTAGCCCCAACCCCCACATCTGCTCTAAACTAAATATTTCATGTTCCTTCAACAGATCATCATATGACATGGACTCAGGGCCCTTCACCATTAAGCAACTACATACTGTGCTTTCTTTCTTCCAGAAGAATGCAACAGAAGAGTAAGTATAAACACACAGACATACATATATACAAAATCAATACAAAGTCTTTGGAGCAAGAGCACTGATGACTGAGGGTGGGGGGAGAGGGGTCAAGAAAGCACTCCATTTTTAGAGGAAGAAACTGAGGCCCAAAAGGTTGAAGACTTCTTTCAAACCCAGGTCTCCTGATTCCAAATCCAGTACTCATTCCACTACACCATTCTGTGTCATCTGTCCTCACCTTGACTCTCCCACAATCCCAGAGACCACTAAAAGGATGAGGAAGGGAACACTCTCGTCTTTGACACAATAACAATTTCTCTCTCCCTCTTCCCTTCCCTGCCCACTCCAGGATAAGTAAATGCACCTAGAGATACCCTGGAGAAGATGTGCTCGAGAGTTAATGAAAAAAACATGTGTGTATACATATGTGTGTGTGTGTATGTGTGTGTGTGTGTGGAATTCTTTTAGAAAATGAAAAAAGAATTCCCAAGTTTGGCATAGCATATTATCTGAGAGCTGGAGGAGAGCCTGGAAATCATTTAGTCCAGCATCTCACTTCTGAGATGCTGACCCAGGACTAGAACCTAGATTCCCTCTCCAAGAGTCAGAGATTTGGAACTGGAAGGGACCCTCGCCACCATCTAGGGCAATGCTCTCATTTTGTAAGTAAGGAAATGGAAGATTAAGTGGTTTTCCCAGGGTCATCATATGTCTAGTGATAGAGTCAGGATTCAAATCCAGTTCCCCCAACTCCAAAGTCAGTCAAAGTTTCCCACCATGTTACATTGCCTCCTGGTTCCTATTTGTTAGTGATGGACAGCCCCTATTTCTTTCCCCAGTTGTGGCTTATCACTTAATATACAACTTCATTGGGCTAAGAAGGAAGGAAATCTGAGGTTGTTCAATGAAGCACTTGTTTCTTTTAGTTTGTGGTTGGCTTTTGCGGGGCTGACCCCGTCACCTTCTCTATGATGCACAGCTTACCATTAGAGAGGGGGAAAAAACCCAATGGAATCAGTTTGGTCAAACTAAAATTAATTGTAAGATCATAGGTTTAAGCTGGAAGGGACTTTAGAGGTCACTTTATTCAACCCCCTCATTTAACAGATGAGGAAACTGAGTACCACAAAAAGTTAAGTAACTCGCCTGAGGTCACACTGGTAGTAAGTAGAAGAGTTTATGGAACTTATTTCCTAGACTTGTGTTATTTGAGCAGTCATCTTTAAATATATCAGAAAATTTGAACTCTGCCCTTGGGACATCATACTTTGATAGCTGAGCTTTTATTTTATTTTTTCTGATGCCAGGCTTCCATGCCACTTCCCAGCTGTTTCCAAACCAAGCCACCACCACTCTGATATTCTTGTCCTTCTAGCTCCCTTTCATATGGAGTCTTCCTCTATTATACTATAAACTCCATGAGGGCAGACACTGAATTGCTTGTTTGCATTTGTATACTTAGCATTTAGTACAGTGCCTGTCTTATAGTAGGTACCTAGTAAATGCTCTGGAAAGAACACTATGTGAATCTATCCTTTGGGTTCCATTACAGGAACTAGACAAAGAGACTTCATGAGAGAATGGGAGGAATCAGGTGATGCCAAAAGTAATAGGTCTTTTTATTCGGAACCTTCAAGGCAGGGGTTTTTACTCTTGTGTGCGTCCTGGACCCCTTTGGCCATCAGTCCATTGAAGCCTATGGACCCCTTCTCAGAATAATGTTTTTAAATGCATAAAAAAAATACATAGAATTATTAAAGAAACCAATTATATTGAAATATTATTATGAAAATATATTTTAAAAGTCAAGTTTATAGATCCCTAGTTAAAAATTCCTGCTTTAAGAGAGGGTTATAAGTCTTAAGTGGAAATACCCAAGGAAGCATGGAGAGGGAGGTGGGGACAAGAGAAGGGTACCAGTGCAGCTCAGAGACCCCCTCCTCCCCACCCTCACCCCCACACACACTGGGGCAGTAACTGGTATTTCCAAGCAAGAACAGCCCACCAATCCCCTACCCTAAGGCCAAGACTGGCATCTTCAATATTTAGAAAGCACTGCTCATGGAACACAAGTAAACTCATTAAATCTGATCTGCTAGCCACAATCTTCATGCATTCAAATGTTTTTCCAACCCTTAGATGGGTTTAAATTATTTTGACAGGGAACATCCTGGTCCCTCAGTTTCCAAATAGCAAGTTGTTAGGAGAACCTGATTCACAACATGGTTGATTTTTTTTCCCCTCCTGAAACATAATGTAGCCAAGAACGGCCTTGATTTTCCTTTCTTTTCAGGCCAAAAGCAGTTCCTTTTTTTTCATTTCAGATTTAAACCTTTGTAACTTTGCCATTTGTCATTGAGGTTTGCAGTTTCAGCACGTTTCCTTGGTCCATTGCCAATCCTGAATATGCAGGTAGCAGCTGTGGTTGGGAGGCCCTTTCTGGCCACATTCTTTTGGCATGACTTTTCCAATCCTTTTTCTTTGATGCAGACCTCCCTGTCTGTAGTTACTCATGTCCCCGTCACAAGGACTTTGCTGGATGGTAGGGAAAGAAACCTGATTGCTATTCCATGGAGTCCCAGCCAATCATCAGTCTTTAGTCCCTTTTCTCTGGGTCAGAATGACAGGATTTCACATTTGGAAAGGGTCTCAATGGCCAGCCTCGATCCACAACAGAATCCTGTCCACAACATGCCTGACTATACTATAGCTGGTCATCCAGATTCTGCCTGAAGACCTCCAATGAAGGAGGACCCACTACCTCCTGACTCCACTCAGCTATTTGGGATAACTGTAATTGTTAGAGGGTTTTTTTTTTTAATATCAAGCCTAAATTTGTCTTTTTTGTCATATTCATTCATTGCTGCCAGCTCTGCCCTCTGGGCCCTAACAGAACAAATCTAATCTCCTTTGAACCTGACCAGACCTTCAGATACTTAAATCATGTCACCTTTAAGTCCTCTCTTCTCCAAATCTAACACCTACAGTTCCTTTAACCAATTCTCATGTGCCATGAATTCAAAGTTTATCATCAAAAGCCATCCGGGATGAGTAGTCTTGAAGCAGACTGAATGATCACTTGTTGGATAGGTGGTGGGAGGGATTCCTTTCATGGATTCTTTATGATAGATGGCCACTGAGATCCCTCACAAGTCTAAAATTGCATTGTGTGGCCATTCCAGTTGCCTTGGGTTATCCTTTATTAAGCACAATACTCTATATATGTTCTGACCAAGACAATTACAAAAGGACTCATCCCACCTCTTGTCCCTAAAGGTGCTAGTTCTGAAATCTTATAAGGGCAAGATTACCTTGAAACACTGACACGACATTCTTGCAAGACATGTGAATATGAAGACCTTCATTTTGACACTGCTGCTAACCACATCCAGAGGCTTCGGGAATTCTATTTTGCTACCCACCACCCACTCCCTGCAAATCAATCAACCTTTATCCTGCACCAAGTAAGGCTTAGTGATTTATTTTATCTGTTGTCTGAGAGGCAATTTAACTAAGTCCAGAGAGGCTTTTTAGTCAATAGTAAATAAAAATGTATTAAGCACCTTTTATGTTCCAGCTAGGTGGTGCAGTAGATCCAAGCACTGGGCTTGGAATCAGGAAGACTCACCTTCGTGAATTCAAATCTGATCTCCGATACTCACTAGCTGTGTGACCCTGGGCAAGTCACTTAACCCTGTTTGCCTCAGTTCCTCATTTGTCAAATGAGCTGGAGAAGGAAATGGCAAACCACTCCAGTATCTCTGCCAAGAAAACCCCAAATGGGGTCATGGAGAATCAGACACAACTGAAATGATTGAACAATATCAATGAAATTATTTTCGGGGACTGTGCATAAATGCTGGGGATACAAATAAGAATCTATTGAAGGAAGACTACACACAAAAGGAAGCTGAAAAAGGGTGGGGTGGGGGTGGGGGTCGAGGAGAAGAGAGTATGGAGCATGGTGGAGAAGCCAGTCAGAGAAGTCCCAAGGTAGTGCAGCCAGGTGAGAGATGAGGAGATGTCTGAGCTGAGCTCTCTCCTTACATGGAGGTTTGGAGTTCATGGCCCCATCCTCCAATCAGAGAGGCAGAGTGTAGTGATGAGGTGGAGAACCAAGGCTGATGAGATCTTACAGGATGATGAGGTTATTCTATGACTATATTGGTCCCAGGAGGATGACAATCTAAGTCATAAAGGGATTTTTGCTCCACAACCACATCAGTCTCAAAGTACTAGAGCAATACATTTCCTCTGCATTAGATCAGACTTTTATTTCCTTATAATGCTCTATCAATCCGTAAATGGACAGCCAGAGTCAACCTACACTGAGCTCTTCCTTCTGGGAACAAACACCTACAGCATTTATTAGTAGAACTCCACCATTTAGCACTGGCTTATGTCATTATTATGTCATTTTTCTTCAGCCAGACCTGTCTCGACTACAGACTGACTACAACACCTCGAGGGCAGGACCAGGTCATATATGGCTCTATCCAGGGGGTACTAAAATGTTTAACAACTTCCTAAAAGCAAGAAAACAGCTTTTAAAGTTTAATCTATACCATTAACACTTTATCACTTTAAGCCCAGATAATTAACAACACAATCAAACTCTAATTTGTAGCCTTTGCCAAGTAAATGCTCACACTGAAAAACTGAACAATCAGCTCTAGTGAGTAGGTGCTAGGTGGTTCCAGCTCACCCTTGCTTTGATCCCTCTCAGCACCCATGTGCTGGGCACACAAGGAATAAAAACCTAAATGATTGGTTAATTATTAAAATGACCAGGGTTAGATTTCTCTGGGAGGGGGATCAGGGCTAGGACCAGAACACTGTTTTTAGCACAAAAACGATACTGTAACCTGGACTTTTGCAGCAGCCTCCTAACTGATTCCCTTAATTCAAATCTCTCCCCTCATCAATCCAGCCTCTAAAGAGAAGTTGAAGTAATATTCCAAGAACAGTGATGTCACTCCCCTGTTCAATGAATTCCATGGGCTCCCTATAACTTCTGGATCAAATACAATATTTTCTGTCATTCAAAGCCCTTCAAACCTGGGTCCAGCATGTCTTTCCAGGCTTCGTCTACCTTATTCCCATTCCTGCATTCAAATTCCAGCCAAGCTGACCTTCATACTCTTCCTCATACATAACAGCCCATCTTCCATCTCCATGTTTTTGTGCAGGCTGCCCCTCCTCCCTGGAATGCACTTCTTCATCACCTCTGCCATTGAGAATCTCTTGCTCCTTGCAAAACTCAACTCAATTGCCACATCCTACAGGAAGGCTCTCCTGAGCCCTCAGATACTTGTTGTCTCTCACCAAAACTACATTGTATTCACTTAGTATTTTGCTTACAACTTCGCCTTAAAGAATATAAGCTCCTTGGAGGCATTAACTGTTTATGGGTTTAACTTTATATCACCAGTACCTAACACATTGCCTTGTAATAAATAGTAGATGCTTAATAAATGTTTGTTGATTGATTGATTAATAATAGGGCTTTTTTTGGACGACTGAATCCTATCAACAATCTAGTTCAAATCCCACTCTAATCCAGTCCAAACAATAAGATTTATAACCACTTTTCATTGCAGGGCCCTGTGCTAGGTATTAGGAATCCAAAGACAAAATTAAAATTAGTATCTTTCCTCATGGAGAGAAAGAATTCTACACTCCCATGGGATATAATTTGGGGATCAATTCCCCAAATTTCCAGTCCTAGAAGCCGTGATGATAGATGAACTAAAACTCTTAAAAGACCTATCTTGTTTGCAGGGTGCGAAGGGAAACCTCAGAATTGCTTTAATTTGCATTTCTCTAACTACTAGTAACTTGGACCCTATCTTCAAATGTTCATTTATAGTTTGAAATTCTTCTCTTGAAAATGTTTGTTCATATTCTTGGACCTGTTGTCTATTAGAGAATGGCTCTTTGGGTTATATATTTATGTCCCTTCCCTATAAATCTTGAGTTTCAGATTTTTAATGCAGATATTTGGTACAAGTATTTGCCCGACTCTAAACTTCTTGTTCTGGCTTCAGTTCTTTTATTCATGCAAAAAAAAAAACTTTTAAATTTTATGCAATCAAAATTGTCTGTTTTGTCTTTTACAATGCCCTCTATCATCTTTTATTTGGTGAGACTGCCAAATCTGCTGGGTAAATGTTGGCTAACTCCAAGAATGGAGGAGAGCTTTCATGTAGATTATCAACAGTTAACCTTTGAGGCAAATTACCATTTTAACCAAGTATTCATAGCATTTAATGGAAGGCTTACTTTATGTATTTTTATATAAATTATTTTTAATCATGCATTTCAGTAAAAAAAAAAAAATACTGTGACCACTAGGAGCTACCAAATCCCCCAACAGGGAGCTAGACAGAAAGGGCTTTGTTGCTCTAAGAAGTCTAGGAACACTGCCTTAACGACCCATTTGGAAGACAGAAGAGCAACCCTGGAAATTGATGGCTATGGCCACCTTCTCTCTCTTTCCCCTGTCTGCCCTCTGGTGGAAGTGTGAATGAGCAAGAAAATGACCCAAAGTAGAGCAAAATAATCAGTATGTCACTTAGATCCCTGTTCACTGATAGCATTCATTCATTCATTCATTCATTTATTCATTCACCAAGAATTTATTAAGCCCCCACTAGGCGCTGGGAATGAATGTAAATAGAATATAGGCTAAGTGTCCTGGCATATCCTAGAGGTTCATTCCTTTCCCCTGAGCTTCTTCAACTAGTCCTTATATAGTTATGGTCTTGAGGATCTCTCACCACCCTGTTCACCCTGAAATTGCATTTGAATTGCAAATGAGGGCATTCCCTGAGGGAAGAGAAAGTACCCATGGGATTGCACCTTCAAAGTGTGCCATCATTCTGGCCCATTGTACACCCATCTGTGGTTCAAGGCATTATGCTAGGCACTGGAGGAGATGCAAGTTTAAAGAAGTCATCGTACCTTATAGTGTTAACTATCTAGCATACATCCTCCTTTAAGTAACCTTTGGATAGCTCAAAGTCTCGTTGCACATCTCAGATTGTTTTAAAGCATCTCTGGTTGGAGTCTTGGTTCATAGCAGGAGGATATATTAGATGACCTCTTAAAGGTCTTTTCATATCTATTAGCTCATCATTTCTATAGCCACTAGAAAAGACAGGTCTGTAAACCAGGATGGAAACACCTCTTCCTACTCCTCTCAAAACACTCATTTCTTTCCCACCAAGGGGGATACCCCAAGGTATATTTTCTCTACTTCAGTCAAAACTCTGATTCTGAGAACACTCAGTCAACGAGCATTTATTAAGAGCTTTCTGTGTTCCAGGTTCTGTGCTAAATATATATATAAAGATATATAGGGGGATATAAAGAAAGGCAACAACAGTCAGAGAGCTCATATTCTAATGGGAGAGACAACTATGAACAAAGATAGCTATCTTTCTATACACACATATGTATATATACATACACACATGTATGAGCTAGGTGGTACAGTGGATAGAATAACAGGCCTGGAGTAAAAAAAAACAAAAAACTCATCTTCCTGAGTTCAAATGTGGCCTCAGACACTTACCAGCTGTGTGACCCTGGGTGAGTCAGTTAACCCTGTTTGCCTCAGTTTCCTCATCTGTAAAATGATCTGGTGAAGGAAATGGCAAACCACTGCCAAGACAACCCCAAATGGGGTCACAATGAGTCAGATACAACTGAAACAACTGAACGATGTGTGTGTATATGTATGTGTGTGTATGTATATATAAATATATGTATATACTTAGTAAAGTATATATGTATATATGTATATATATCTACTTAGGAAATGGAAGGTAAGCTCAGAGGGGTAGAACTAGCTAGTGAGTGAGAGGGTGGAGGAGCTGGGAAAAGTCTCCTACACAAGGAGCTGAGTTGAGAAGGAAGCTGGCAAGCAGAGCATCTCTTTTCCTGGAATACCTGTCTTAGCTATCTTTATCCTAAGTCTAAATTCCCACTTTCTGGGCACTACCTGCTAGAGTCCAGGAGTGGGGAACCTGTGGCCTTGAGGTCACATGTGGCCCTTTAGGTCCTCAAGTGCGGCCCTTTGACTGAATCCAAATTCGGCCCAACCCTGTAGCTAGACTTTTGTTGCTCAGCATCTGTTTCCTCCACCTCCTGCTCTCTCACTCTCACTTTTGTCTTAATGCTCTCTCTTCTCACAGCCACCTCTAGGAATCGCTTAGGAACTCGTTAAGACTTGACTTCTACAGGAAGTCTTTCCTAGTTCCCCAGCTGCTAATGCCTTCTTCTCTAAGCTTACCTTCCAACCACTCCATTTATATCTGATTTCCACCTATTTAATTGTGTCTCTCCTATTAGAATGTGTACCCCTTGAGGGCAGGAATTGGTTTTTAACTTTTTTTGCATCCCCAGGGCTTAGCATAGTGTTGGACACACAGTAGGTGTGCATAATAAATACATATTGATTGATCCATTGATCAATAATGACATTCTAATTACTTAATTTGCTCTCACATTCAGAATTTCACCTCTATGACTTTCCAAGGTGGGTTCGCCATTCCCTTTCCCTCTTGCCTATCTCACTCCTTGTCCCTCAGAGTTGCTTCACTACTTAAGTGTTTCGAACAGATGGGATTAGCTTGGCTAGGAGGCAGTAATCCAATGAAGGAAGATAATGAACTAGAAACTTGAGACTAGTTTCCTATTTCTAAGGCCAGCAGGATATGGCAGCTGCTGAGCCAGCACATTCAGCCTCTGGAGAGAAGCAAGAACTGTCTGTCACTGAATAAATGACCTCTCTCCTCCACTGACTAAGGGGTCACATGGACCAACTCTGTGTTGGGTCAAAGTCCTTCTGCTCCTTGATGGGGGAATAGCAGCTTTTGTGAAGCACAGGAGAAGAATGCCCTTTCCTTTTCTTTGATTATTTTTTTAAGAGTGGACACTTTCTGGAGAGTCAAAATCCATTAGCCCAGACTGTTCCAATGTCTCTGGCAAATTAATTTAGGCAGTTTTAACGCAATTTTATTATGTAACCCTTAAGAGCTGTTCTGGTAAATGCTCTTCCCATAAATACCATTGTGTATGTGAAGTACACCTTCAGGGTGAATAAATTTGAATTATTATACAAACAATAATTTACACATCGATGACACCAGAATATCCAGGCCTGCTTTCTCTTCTTTCATGATGATTAGTCTTGATTCATCTTGACCTCTCTTCCCCACTTGACATAGTAGATTGTTCCCTCCTTTCTTACTATCGGCTGTTCCTCGCTTTGTTCCTGACTCCATTTTTTTCACCAGTCTGACCTCTCTTATTTTATCTCCTTTGCTGACTTTTCATCCCTTTCTGTTCTTTAATTGAAGGTACTTCTCTCCAAGGCTTTATTCTTAGCCATTCTCTTCTTTCTCAACGCAAGCTCTCTCTTGATCTCCACTTTTTCCTGGTTTGAATGACCTCCTTCTTACATGGATGACTCCTAGATCTCTTAGACTTCCTTTCCCAACCTCTCTTCATAGTTCCAGTATCACATTTCTACTTCTAAAGCTTACCCCCTGTGTTACTGTGGACAAGTGAGTTAACCTCAGTTTCCTCATCTGTAACATGAAAGAATTGGATCTGATGGTTCCTGACGTACCTCCCAGATCTGAGCTCTAAGAGGTTATGACCTCCCATTGTATGTGCACCTCAACCTCACTACATCCAAAACTGAACTTATCATCTTCCTCTCAAAATCTGTCCCTGCTTCCAACTTCCCTATAAGTCAATTAGTCAGTAAGCATTTATTAAGCACCTACTACATGCCAGGCTCTGTGCTAGGTGCTGGGGAGCACAAAAAAAAAGAGTAAAAACAGCTCTTGCCCTCAGAGAGTTTACAGTCTAGGTAGGAGAAACAACATGTATATATCTAGATATAAACAAAACAGATACAAGGCGATGGGAAGAGTGTGAGGAGGGAGGCACCACTAGCATACAGTTATCAAGAAAGGCTTCATGTATAAGGTGACACTTGAGCTGACCCTTAAAGGAAACTAGATTTGCTAAGAGATGGAGGTCAGGAAGGCGCATATGTCAGGTATGACGAACAGCCAGTGCGAAGACAAGGAGGCGGGAGATGAAGCACCATGTATGAGGAAGTGCTATTTCTGTTGAGGCCACACTTGCCAAGGTTCAAAATCAATCAGAAATCACTTTGCATTCTTCCCTCTTCCTAACTCTCTTTTCTGATCAGTTGCCATCTATTGATACTGCTTCCATATCTCTTCCCAGCTACATGCTTTCCTTTTAGAGATAGCAGGGTGGCATAGTGGTAGAACACTGGGTCTAAAGTCAGAAAGACCTGAGTTAAAATCCATCCTTAGACCCTAGCTGTGTGACCTTGGACAAGTCACATAACCTCTGTCTGCTTTAGTTTCTTCTCAACTGTAAAATGGGAACGATAATAACAGCAGTTACTTTGCAGGGTTATTGTGAGGATCAAATGAGGTAATATTCGTGAAGGTTTTAGCATAGTGCCTGGTACGCAGTAGGTGCTATGTAAATGTTTATTTCTCTCTTTCTACCATCTTTCCAATCCACCTATTTCAAGCCCCCATCACCCTTCTTTTGGATTAAAGTAACCCTGTTTGCTTCAGTTTCCTCATCTATAAAATGAAGTGGAGAATGAAATGGCAAACCACTCCAGTATCTTTGCCAAGAAAACCTCAAATGGGGTCACAGAGAGTGGGACATAATTGAAATGACTGAACAACAACAATAATAGAAATAGTCTCTTAAGTGGTCTTCCTTCCACTTCCTTCAGAGAAAATCATTGAATCATACAATTTTTAAATAAAGAGTAAAGGGGATATTAGCAATCATTTACTCAATTTACAGATGAGGAAACTGGGTCTAACCCCTTTCTAATCCATCCTTTCCACAGCTGATGAACCATATCACTTTCTTCCTTAAAACTTTCGATGATTCCACAGTGCCCGATGAATAAATTTTAAGTTCCTTATCCTGGCGGTGAAGGGTCACCACATTGTAGCTCCAACTTTCCTTTGAAGTCATAGGGCACATTCATTCAAATATTTATTCAAATATTTTAAGTTCCAGTGAGACTGGACTGCTCCAATCTTCTATTCTTGTCCTTCTCTCTTTCAGGCCTGGACAGGACTACTATCTTTACTCTCCACCATAATCATTGCCTGCTAATATCCAACCCCTCCCCCCATTTTTTCAAGACTCAACTCTGATGCAATGAAGCCTTTACTGTACTTCCCAGTTGAAAGGGATGCCTCCCTCCTCAAGCATCTTGCAATATTTTGTCTGTACTTCATGGCTATTTGTGGATTTGCTTTGTTTACCATGTTAGATTGAAAACTGCTTGAGGATAGGATTTCATCATATTTCATCTCTGTTTCACAGTATCTTGTTCATAATACGTTCCTGATAAAAATTTTTGGTGTACTCAATCTGATTGAATTCTTCAGAGAGTTCTGAAAATGGAAAACTGCTGGCAATACGAAGTGCTCATTTTTCAAATTCAGCTGATAAATCAGGCAGTTTCCTCTCCAAACATAATTTTAAAAATCAGTTATGCCAGGCTGTGGGCTAAATAATTGATTTCCACATTTCATTCTGTAAATTAAATTATAGACTTTTGAGTTATTAGAAGAAATGGCATAGTTAGCCAATAAACCTTTCTTTTAAAATGGCTGTGCCCTTATTTATTATATGTATTAACATTTATTCCTGCCTCAAATCCCATCAATCAAATTTCCGTTTTTAACACTTTTCTGAAAACAAGTAAGAAATATTTGGTTCCAACAACAATGCTGTGGAAGGAATAAGACAGAATGTCTAGAATGCTGAACATGGAGTGAACCTAATTATATCCAATGAACACCTTGAAATGACTGCAATTATGGGATAAAATTTTTAAAAACCAGAACCCCAAAGCCTTATATTGCAATCTGACTTCATTGCACATTATTCCCCATGATTAGTTTTATATTCCTGCTAAACTGGGCCATTGGCTGTTCCCTGGATTCAAGATGCCATTGTCAGCCTCCATTCCTTTCTGTCCAAGCCATTCTCTGTACCGGACCATAATCCCTCCTCCCAATGCATCTCTCTGAATCCTGTACTTCCTTTAAGAATCAATTCAGGTCACCTTTCTCAAAAACACCTTGCCTGATCTCTCTACTTAGTAGTCTTCTTTCCATCTTCAAATTACATTTTATTTATTCATTCGTGTCTATGGAAAAGCCTCTACCAACCTGACTCCCAGAAGAATGTGTGTTCCTTGAGGGGAGGCACTATTTTGTGCTCACTTTTGAATCAAATACATAGCAGGTACTCAGTAAATACTTGTTGAGTTGAATTGAACTGAATTTGAAGTTAGTCTTAGAATAAAACTCTTTTGTATGTTGCAAAGGAAAAAAAAATTAGGCTCAATGTTGAGAAAAACTTCCTAAGTACTAGAACTATTCAAAAGCTTGACAGTTATATGCTGGCAGTGCCTTCCTCCTCTCACTCCTCCAATCACCTTGTATCTTTATATCTAGATATATACATATTGTTTCCTCTACCTAGATGTAAGCTCCCTGAGGGCAAGAACTGTTTTTACTCTTGTTTTACTCTTGCACTGGATGGCTCAAGAGGCAATGGATTTGACCTCCCTGAAGTTCTTTAAACAAAGACTAGATGTCCACTCGGGTAAGTTGTAAAGGGCATTCTTATTCAAGTACAGATTGGACTAGAGGGCTTCTAGTCCATGAAAGTGGACTCATTCCCTCATAGTTTGAGAGTCTGTGATTCTATGATAGAACCGTAGAGATGAAATGGGTCTTAAATGTCCAGCTAGGTGGTGCAGTGAGAAAGGGGCACTTGAGCTGACCCTTAAAGGGAGGGTAGAGACCTGGTTCAAATCTCACCTCAGACATTTACTAGCTCTGGGACATTGGGCAAGCCAACATCTTGGTTTCCTCATTGGTACAGTGGAGATCGGAACAGAATTTTTCCATGAGTAAAATACTACATATGATTGTTATTGTCCACAGGCACATAGTTAATGGGTGGCAAAGTCAGGACTCAATGCAAGCCTCTTACTTATGATTCAATGATCTTTCTATTGTGTATAATTAGCTAAGTGAATGTTGGAATATATATATATATGTTTTCTAATGTTTTCTCTAACTGCTGCAATATCAGTCATCCGTAAGCATTTATTAAGTACCTACCATATGCCAGGCACTGGGCTAAGCACTGAAGATTCAAAGAAAGACAAAAGACAGACCCAGCTCTGAAGAAGCTCACAGTCTATTGGATGGGACAAGCAAACAATTCTGTACAAACCAGATATAGACAAATTAAATGTTGTTGCTGTTTGTCCTTTTTTGAAGAGGACCAATGACATCTCAAAGAGATGTCCTGATTTGTGCATGAATTAGATTTAAGTGAGGCAGAGTTGCACAAAGTCATTAGCCTTACTCTCTCTTTCAGAGTCATCTGCGCCCAGCGGCAGACAAAAGTCAGAATGACTAGCAATGACCCGGGATGCAGTGGATGACCTTCGTGTCTTCGATGTCTGATTAAGCTCTAAGCACTCCATGGCACCTGCTTCAGCTGCCTTTCATGACCATTGGAAGAAATTGTTCTCATCCACCCATTCCACCAGGGGAAATCTTCACATGCTTGGGGTAGACACCCCTCTAACCCGCTGACAGTTTGTGGCCCATAGATTACCCTGAACCTGGTTTAGGCAGTCTGCCAAGACAGAAAAAGAAGATTGCACTGTATATGTGAAACCATAACTGTTATGTAGTGCTTGCTTTAAATATATATATATATATACATATATATTTCTACTTTTTTGTCTACAGTTTCTTCTAAGTCCCTTCTGTTCACTTTTGTGCCTTAAAAGAACGCTTCAGTGACCCTCTTTTTTTGGGCAACTCTATTGCTAGCTTTCCTCTCCCCACCCCATCTCCATGTCTTACCTCACCTCCCCTCAAAAAAAAAGAAAGCCATAATCTTCGCAGCAAATGAGTGGAGTCAATCAATTGACACATTGACAATTCTCACATTGACCATGTACAAAAATGGATGTCTCACTCTGAGCCTCTTGCCCATCACTCCTCTATCAGGAGGAGGGTACCATGCTTCATCCTCAGATCCTATGTTCTCAGAGGCTTGGTGGCTCATTACAAACTCTCACAGGCTGGACAGGTTTCAGGTATAGACACAGGGAGGCCCATTTGTCTATCTTTCTTCCTGAAGAATAACCCAGCTAAATTCATAAGGGTTTGGACCCTTAAGATTGGCCACCAGGTGATTTTTTTTTTAAATTTTATTTTGCCTCAGCAACTCATAAAGCTGATTACTAAGGCCTAAGGGTCTGATTTGTGATGGTGCAAGGAGAACCCATGTCAATGACAATTATACATTCTTTAAGAAAGGAAGGCAGTGTGCTTTGGTTGAACAGTGGGACATATCAGAGGGAAGATTTGAAGCCCAGTCCTCTGACTTTGTAATTTGTGTTCTTTCTGCTGTATCACACTGCCTCTCATTATTAAGTGACCTGAGATTTAGTGACAGAACTAGAAATCTTGACCCAAAACCAGAATTCTGAGGGTCTAATGAAACCAGTAATACTTAAGCCAATTTTAACCTTATCTCTATAACCGATACATAATGATCATGGGTGAGGCAGAAAGCAGAGGGACAGGAAAATGATTTACTAACCACCTAAATCTAGTTCAACCAATTATAGTTTATATTTCTAGAGTATTTTCAGATTTACAAAGTCCTCTCCAACTAACACCCCTTCAGTGTAGGGTAAAGTACATGTTATTATTCCTAGTTTACAGATGTGGAAACTAGGGCTCATGGGTAAATTAGCTTATACAAGGTCTCATGGTTAGTAAGACATGACTCTTTGACTGGAATCCAGATTCTCTGAATACTGGTCCAGAGTTCTTTTCCCCACCCGACTTCACCTCTTAATCAATTAAATAAAATATATTGAGTACCTGATAGATTTGTTAAAGACTATGTAGGTTATTCAAATAAAAATATTATGATGTTAGGCAGATCCTGGAAAAGTTGGATTACCATCATGGTGTAGCGGCTAGAGAGCTGGCCTCTGAGCCAGGAAGACCTGGGTTCAAGTACCAAGTGATGGACATCCCATCTCTTACATATATTGATTGCATGACTCTGGTCAAGTCACTAAATCATTCAGTACTGTAGGCAACTCTTTATGACTACAAGTTATAGAGAAGGTGCCAGTCAACATTGATAAAGGGCATTTCCACTTGTGGGAGTTCCCTCTATCGCTAAAATCACAGGTCCAATTCCTATTCATACACCCTAAAAGGGTAAAAAAAAAAACTGGCTAAGTAAGGCTCAGCAAGTAGTATAGTGAGTTAGTTATTCAAATAGCACCCAGACTTGGAATCAAGGAAATGTAGAATAGCAGAGATAGAAGGGACCTGGTACAATGAAGGGTTTATTGTTCAGTCATTGTTCAGTCATGTCTGACTCTTCATGACCCTATTCAGTGGGGTTCTTTTCTTTAAGTTTTCAAAAATAGTATTTTATTTTTTCCAATTACATGTAAAAACAATTTTCAACATTTGTTTATTATAAATTTAGATTTCTGAATTTTCTCCCTCCCTTCCTCCTCTCCTCCCTCCCTGAGAGAGTAAGCAATTTGATATAGGCTATACATGTGCCATGATGCAAAATTTATTTCCCTATTACTCATGTTGTGAACAAAAACACAGACCTCCCCACCAAAAAAAAAACCGCAACACCACAAAAAATAAAGAAGTTTAAAAAATAGTATGCTTCGATCTGCATTCATATTCCATTATTTTTTTTTTCTGGAGGTAGATAGCATTTTTCATCATGAAGCCTTTAGAATTGTCTTGGACCATTCTATTGCTGAGAAGAGCATTCACAGTTGATCATCATACTATATTGCTATTACTGTGTATAATGTTCTCCTGGTTCTGCTCACTTCACTCTGTATCAGTTCATGTAAGTCCAGGTTTTTCTGAAATCATCCTGCTCATCATTTCTTATAGCACAACAGTATTGCATTATAGTCATATACCTCAACTTGTTCCTACCCCATTACAATCATATGCCACAACTTGTTATACTCCAATCAGAGGTGGGGAACCTGTGGCCTCATGGCCACATGTGTCTTTCTAGGTTCTTGGTTATAGCCTTTTGACTGATTCCAACTTTTACAGAACAAATTCTTTTATTAAGGGGATTTATTCTGTGAAGTTTGGATTCAGTCAAAGGGCCGCACTTGAGGACCTAGAGGGCCACATGTGGCGCTGAGATCACAGGTTCTCTACCACTGCCCCAAGTGATGGACATCCCCTCAATTTCCAATTCTTTGCCACCACAAAAAGAGTTGCTGTAAATATTTTTGTACAAATCCTTTCCCCTTTCATTTGGGGTTTTCTTGACAAAGATACTGGCCTGGTTTGCAATTTCTTCCTCCAGCTCATTTTACAGATGAGAAAATTGAAGCAAACAGGGTTAATTGACTTGCCCAGGTCAACAAGTGTCTGAGGCCAGATGTTTTTTTAACTCCAGATGATGAGTCTTCCTGACTCCAGGGCCATCATTCTATCCATCTAGCTGTCCCACAATAAACAGTACTAAATTTGAAATCAGAGGACCTGCATTCAAATCCTAGCTGTGCCACTTTCTCCCTGGGAAAGTCACTTAATTTCTCTTGGCCTCAGTTTCCTCAACTATGAAATCCAAAAGTTGTACTTGATGACATCAAGGGTCCCTTCCATCTCTAAGTATGAACTGTTATCCTATGTTTAGCCTGGAGAAAGAAATACTTGGCCAGGATCAGGGTGGTGAATGGTATCTGTCTTCAAGTATTTGGAAGGCTACTATATTGAAGATGGGATAGACTTATTCCTCTTGGCCCCAGTGGGCAGTGCTAGGAGCAATAGGTAGAAACTATAAAGAGAAAATTTAGACTTAATGTCAGAGGGAAAACTTCCCAATGACTAGAGCAAGTGGAATAGGCTACCTTAGGAAGTGACATATTTCCTCCTTCACGGAGAAATTCAAGCAAAGCTTGAATAGCCACTGACCACAACTTAGGTATTATTTAGAGAAAATTCTTAAATCTTTCCAGACCATGTGACTATTGAGGTCTATTGTAACTCTGAAATTCTTGAAAATACTACAATGTCACCTTGGTAGAAGGTTTCCAGTGGCGTGCCCCCTAGGGATCTGAGCTTGGCCTTGGGCTATTTAATATTTTATCAGCGACATGAATAAAGGCATATATGATATGCTTATCAAATTTGCAGAAAATGTGAAGCAGGGAAGAATAACTAACACACCGGATGAAAGTAGAAAGTCAATATGATCTTGACAAGTTATGAAGTTGCGTCATATTTAATTAAATTTTAGTCAATAGGAAGAAATGAAAGCCATATGCTCGGGCTCAAAAAATCAACTAAAAAGGTTCAAGATGGGCGAGGTGTGACTAGGCATCTGTTCTATTGGAAAAGACCAGGGGGATTTTAGTGGACTACAAACCAACAGTGAACCAACAGTGTGGCAGGTCAGCCAGGAATGCTTCCATTACCTTAGGCTGCATTAAGAAAAACAAAATGTCCAGGAATAGGAAGATGACATCTTTTTCTACTCTGCCCTGGTCAGACCATACCCAAAGTCATCTTTTCAATTCTGGCCCTACCACACAAGATAAGACACGGACAATTTGGACAGCATTCAGAGGAAGGTAATTGCCAGATAAAGACTGGTTGAAGGGACTGGGGATGTTTAGCTTGGAGAAGAGAAGATAGAGGAGACACATAATAGTTGTTTTCAAGTTTTTGGCATCTCACTATATAGAGCAGCTATTCCCAAACTTTTTGGTCTTAGGATCCCTTTATACTTTTAAAAATTACTGAGAACCACCCCTTGTCCAAAACGTTTTGTTCATGTGGGTTATAATGATCAGTGTTTACCAAATTAGAAATTAAAATGTCTTGGTATTATTATGAAAATGGTTTTGACCTAATGAACCCACTGAAAAGGTCTCAAGGATCCCCATAGGTCCCTGGACCATACTTTGAAAACCACTGATGTAAAAGAAAGATTAGGTTTATTCTGTTTGACCCAAGACAAAATGAGCTGAAATTTTAAAAGGGACAAATTCGGGCTCAATGTAAAGAAAAACTTCCTAACAATTAGAGCTGGTCTGAAGCACAATGAGTTGCCCAAGCATTCTATGAACATAGAGTGCTATATGCCATCTCTAGCATTCTCAGAACCTTTGGTATCATGAATAAAAGCCATCACCTCTCTTCCTACTTCCAGTTTCCCTTCTCCAACAGCCATTTAGATATCTCAAATTGGATGTCCCATAGATATCACAGAGTCAACATGTCCAAAACTGAACTCGTTATCTTTTCCCCCAAACTGTCTCTTCTTTCTAACTTCTTCTTTACTGTTGAGGGTACCACTATCCTCCCAATCCCCTAGGTG